TCGGACGGGGCCGACCATACGATACCCTACACAACTACCACGGAACTCAAATTTTCTGCGGATGTTCATTCCGAGCCTGGGCAATATTTCGTGATATTTGCACCCTCTTGCCCGATAGAGGTAAACAGCACCTCTTCCTCACACTGACATATTACGAGTATTCAATACAGCTATTGTCAAGATTTCCTTCACCGTGGGTTGTGTTTTGATGTTCGGCTTACATTTGTGGTCTATAGATCGACTCGAAAATAACACAAAAAATTAAGTTTTCGGTGCACTTCATTCCAAACTTATTATCTGATCATCACCGAAATTTAGAGGCGTTGTCCTTGACCATACCCGGAACCTCATGGAACATTTCAAAGCGATCAGCGCTATAGTTCCGCTCTCTAGAGTGATAATGGGATACTAAATAATATACGAATACGGAGATACTTGTAAATATTTAGGTGTAACTCTCACATCCGAGCACATACAATAATATAATTGGTCTTAATTTAAAGGTCAACCACTCCTCTTGGATATAATATCAACTTCCCGGGTCTATGTCCTTCAGGGGTAAATATATACGCTACCGAATACAAATTTGGTCATTTTTCACACAAAAGTCAAGGTCCATTTGACCCGCTAAATATTGACCGATCTTTATCAAAATAGGCATGCTTATTCTTTGGCCCGACCCCCTTCTCCATGCAAAATTTCACGATGTTCGGGCCATTATTGCCGCCTGTGGAGCGACCAGAAAAACCGACAAAAATTTGGTATTTGGTCCATTTCATCCCCTAAATATTAACCGATCTTTCCCAAAAACAATAGGGGTCTTCATTGGCCAGAACCCATCCTACATGCAAAATTTCGTGAAGATTGGTCCATAACTGTGGCCTGTATCGTGTTTACAAATTATAATGGACAGACGGACGGACGGACGGACGGACGGACACACATGTCTAGATCGACTCAGCTAGTCGAGATATGACGATCGGTATACTTAAAGGTGGGTCTAGGACCAATATTTCGCGGCGTTACAAACTTTTGGGGCTGCACAAAGCTATAATACCCTGACAACATAGTTGTGTAGGGTATAATAAAAAAGAATTCATTGAGTGTCGAGTAACGGCTGTCTTAATCGGAAAACATTGATGGTATGTTGCTCCATTTACATAACTTCGGACGAAACTATATATGAGAGCTTTATCTAAAACTGAACCGATTTCGACAAAACTTAGCATATATCAATCTAGACCTAATTCATTGCAATAGTGACCGTATGTTGATCGATTTACATAAAATCGGACGAAACTATATACTGGAGCTATATCTAAATCTGAACCGATTTTCTCCAATTTCAATAGGGTTCGTCCTTGGGTCAAATAAGTAACATGTGCCAAATTTCATCCAAATCGGATTATAAATGCGACCTGTACTTTGTTCACCAAAATACACTGACAGACGGACATGCATAAATCGATTCAGAAAGTGATTCTATGCATATTCTCAAAAGGAACCATGGGCATATCTCGATGCCCTTTGCCTGTAACAAACATATGCACAAAGACGTAATACCCTGTACCACAGTGTGGTGAAGGTTATAATAAAAAACTTTTTATGGTCAGTAGTTCGTGAAATATTCAATGTATGATGATGGAAGAAATTTCTAAAGATGTCTCTATTTAACGGTATGCTACATAATACATACTTTTAAATTCCGTTTGCAACACCTCGAAATATTCAACGCAGATCCTATAAAGCCATTACCATCAGTTGAAATCGCAAAAGATTTTGAAATATTTAAGATAGAGCTTCAAAAGTCGGCCCATACATTGCTACTACTTCTAGGATTATTGGTATTGAAAATGGAATACATAGGTATACGTGCAGGTATAGCCCACAAATTTTGAGATTTTGGTCACATTTTAAACCAAATTTACTACTAAAATTTTCAAATTTGTATTCTGATTATATTTTGTATTCTGATTGATTAGAACATCTCTGCCATTATTTGGTATTTTGGGTACATTTTCTAGCTATTGGCTGTAATTTTTTTAATTATAAATCTTGGTACATGTTATGATATTCTGAAGACTGAGATACATACAGTATCGTCCAAGACCCCTCTGTACATTGTTTAAATGATAATTTTTTATGAAAACAATGTAGTACAATTTATTTTTCTTTTTATTTATTTACATGTTGATTTTTTTTTTAATAAAAGATAAGGAATTCAGATCGTCTTTGGTTTTGCATTTTTAGGTTAAATTTTGAGTTCAATGGTCTTTTACAGGATTAGGTTAAGATCAAAACATTGGGCAGACCAAGGGGACTTTAGCGTATGTTTTGGGTTGTTATCTCAATGGAATGTTTATCTAAGAGAAGAGAGAGATTCTTTAACAACATGTAACAACATGTGTCAATCGATTTTGGATTCATAAATGTTGGATTTATAAATATTGAAAATTTTGATCCTCTGTGGGGGAGGTACCAGAAGGAGTGGACCAATGGATCTTATCATCCTACTTGATCTAGGCTTGCTAAATACAATAGGTTGTACAAAGTTTCGTTAACATCGGATAGTCTGTTTGCATGCTATTATAAAATTAATTTTTAACATAATTTTGACTATTTTATGGGGGAGGTACCAGAAGGAGTGGATCGATATTTCCCATCTTCTAACTTAAACTAAGTTTGGAAGAAATATTAAGATGTGCAAAGTTTGGATGAAATCTATTATTCCCTTCGAGAGTTACCGTGCGCACCAGCCAGACGGACAGACGGACATGTGTAAATCGACTCCAAATTTTCTGAAACTGATTTGGTCTAAAGAAACATGGGGTCTAAAACCAATATTTCTATGAGGCACATTTTCACCGTATCAAAGTGTATAACCATCATTAGCCATAATGCTGAGGGTATAAAAAGCTTAATCACTCCTTTTAATATAACACGATTCATAAGATAATCTATAATTCTATTAGTTTTATGAATTCGTCCAACCCCATGTCCGGAGAAACCACCCAAGACCCTTATGTTGCCTTCTCCACGCCACGCCATCTCAATCCTTTAAATGTTACTTAGATTCGTCAGAATACAGCACACTCCTCAATAAGAACGCAGTTTAGATGACGTAATTATGATCCCAATGAGATTAAATTTGGCACAGCCCGCATATTCGGCCCAAGGATTTGGATATAGCTCCCATATACATGTTCGTTCAAATTATGCACCAAATAATCAACGTGTGTTCGATTGAGTGCGATGTGTAGCAACATACCGCATAGGGGGTGTCAAGCTTGTAAAGATTTTGTCCGATTCATATAACTGTTACACAACTGACTATAAATCTCTTCGATTTTACATTTTCCATATATTGCAGAATAACATTTTTTTCATATGGCTACAGATAACAAAATTAATTTCGTGCGATTTCATGGTTCGTCAGTTACAATAATAATTTTAATAGCATATTTTGTATATATCCAAGGTGGGAAGTCGACCCCGTCCGACTTTACTACTTTCCATAATGGTACCAAAAATGATCAATATTGGCCCAAGTTTCCCACCATTATTTTGTATTTTGAGCATGTTTTTCAACCGAATTCATGTTATGAAGGGGTGTCAAATCTCTCTACAAAAAATTTGTGCAAAAAAGTTTTGATATAGATGCTACATAAAGGTCCCGTCATATATAATCCCCAATAAATTTCTGGATCGATTTTATGTATTTTGAATGCACACTATATATATTTTCGTGCGATTTTAGGTGAATGGTGCAAAGTTTGTTCGTTTGACACGGCATTTTGCCCAACGTATCTAAATGGGTCTGATATATTAGGATGAAATCTGATCAGAGTTTGCTACAATATATATTTTCGTCCGATTTTATCTCAGTTTGTTTAACTGAAACTACATTTTTAATATTTGTTTAAATCGGTGCAGATGCAAATTAGGCCCCCTATATCAAAATTGGCATAGCTTAATTTAAATCAATTAATATAATTTAGTTCCATTTTAACAAAATTTAGCATAGGTTGCAGAATGGCATGTGTAGGGATTGATGTTAGTCGGTTTACATATAAATAAAGATCACATTTTTAAATTTGTTAATTTTCATGTCAATGTTCCTTTGAAAAGTCGACGTCTGTTATGACATGATTTTCAGCCGAATTTACTGTAATTTGGTATTTTAGGTACTTATTGGGTAGCTCACCTTCCAACAAAAACTTATCAATATTGGTCCACTTATTAGGATACCGCCCATATAACGTTATTCCCAATATTCGACCTGCCTAAATAGCGACGTTTTTACTTGTTTTTTCATATTTTTGAATGAATTATTATTCCAACACAATTTTTACTCTTTTAAATAATATTAACATGTAAAAAATCCAAATTATTGTAGTAATTAGAAAATATAATGATAGACAATTTGTAATAAAAAACCTAAGTCCATTAAAACATGCAAACTTAGCGACAGAAAAAGCTCTAAGTCCCAAAAAAGGCGTGTATCTCCGCAAATACTTATTTTTTCATTTTGCCTTTACGCAATTAAATTACACATACAATACAAAAACAAATTATTGAAAAGAAAGTTTGATTGTTTTTTGTCTCTCCTGAAAATTTGTGAAATATGGACTTGCCGCCTTTACAAGTTAAGCCAGCGACATGTAATTTAGTTCAATTCTTTGTCAAAATTCCATCAAAATTGCGATGTCTGTTAGGATAGATCTTCTAAAATGCCCAAAGTGGTGAAGGGTATCATATAGTCGGTCCCGTACGACTTTACTACTTGCCATACTGGTTATGCTTGGATTTTTACATTATGTAGGCCATAACAAGTCATCCCGACAGATAGCAACCTTGTTATACATATAAAAATATTCATACATTTTAGTAACACTTTTTTTTGGCAACCATTATTTGTTTAACTGTCTTGTATTTTTGTTTAATTAATGTATTAATATTTTTTCTTAATTTTTTTATCTTCTTTTCATTTCACATTGGACATGGACATATGTGTACGTGAACAAACAACAATAACAACAACAATTACAGCAATTGTTTTAAGTGTAACGAATACAATACTAGGACAAGAGTCATCATTCTTTAAGAAGCCATGGCCAACATACAGTCTACAGAATATGCCACAGACACGATTCACATGTCATGACAAAATACTCGGCGGTTATTATGCAGATCCGGAGACTCAATGTCAAATGTTCCATGTGTGCGTCAAAGTTGGCGGAGTAGGGGTAAGTAGTGTAGATATATTTTGTAGTAACTAACCAACCAACCGACCATCTATCCATCCGACTATCCGTCCATCCATCCAACCAACCATCCATTCAACAGTCAACACTGTTGAGATACATTCAACACATTCACTTGTCATGATGCTCTGAACCAGAATTACAACCTCTTAAATATAAAAACAACAAAAACTGAATAGAAATAGATGGCCAACACAAATCTGTGACATGAAATAACAAATGAACGACTTTGCTACGTCGAAATATTAGAATGTAAATAATTTTCGCAGTTTTTTAGTTTCGATTTTGTGATTTTTTTCGTTTCAGATGAAAAATGATTTCGGTTTTAGGCCCATTGCAGGCAGGCAGTCAGTATCAATACCGTGGAATGTTTTATTATTTCAGTGGAGTTGTAACTGCATGCAGTTGAGATTTTGTTTTTTTTTTTTTTTTTGCTGTTCGCCGTCATTACGCGAATGTGACGTGTGACTTTGGCTCACTCCGGTAAATGTTAAAGTGTAAATTGCATTTGCCGTTTGTCTTCTCATGTCTTTGTTCGAACGCTATCGGCAAGATTGATTTTATTTTTCTCGACACAATGTTGCATTTGTTGGTGTTGTTGTTGTTGTTGAAGTTTTATTTGTATATGAACTCTTTTTCTTGGATTTGCACTTCAGTTGGCAAATGATTGTGTGTAAATGATGCCAAGTGTTGGAACTAATGGAAGTTGTTCTTTACTGTAAATACGAGGCTTGTTAAATATGTTAATTTTAGCTGAGGAAATATTTTCATAATTATAGGTACAAACTTTGATTTCTATGACCTCAGCCTTAAGGATAATGATGGAAATATATAATTTTATACGCAAAAACATTCTTAATTGAAATATCGGAACCCAATCTTTTGACCAAATTGCTTTCAGACAATTCGGAGTCCATTTAAAAATGTCCGTTTGTCTGTCCGCCCGAAGTGGTGTGCACGATAGATCTCAAGGATCTATACTTGACACTATTTGATAAAAAAAAACAGTAAGGAATGTTCAAAAGTCGGACCGCCTATATGATACACTTCACCACTTTGGATACATACAATAGAAGCTAATATATGCAATATCCTGTGATAGAACAGACATATAATCTTTAGAGGTCCATTGAAATGGAATGGGGTGAAACTAAATGTGTGATCTACTATATATATGGGAGCTAAATCTAAACCTGAACGGATTTCAATAAAACTTCATAAATAACAAACAGGTCCTAATTTAGTAGGCTTTGCAAAATTTTGTCTCAATCGGACAAATATTAGGAGTTTGGCGCACCACTTATATATAATTGGATAAACTATATATGGGAGAAAAATATCTAAAACTGAACCGATTTCATCAAAACTTCGCATACATCAAACTGGATCTAATCTAGTACGCTGTGCAAAATTTTGTCTCAATCTGAATAATATTGGAAGTTTGGTGCACCATTTACCTAAAACCGGTCGAATCTATATATGGGAGCTATATCTAAATCTGAAGCAATTTCAAAAAAAAAAACTTCGCATACATCAATCAGGACCTAATTCAGCATGCTATGTAAAATTTTGTCTCAATCTGAAAAATATTGGAAGTTTGGTGCACCATTTACATAAAATCGGAGAAACTATATATAGAATCTATATCTAAATCTGAACCGATTTTCACGAAACTTGACACACACCACTCCTAGCGCAATTTAGCACCCTATGCAAAATTTCGTGCAAATCGAAATATATATATATAGGGACTTTGATGCACCATTTACATTAAATTGGACGAAAATATATATGGGAGTTATATCTAAATCTAAACAGATTTTCACGAAACTTAACACACATCGTTCTAGACCTAATTCATTACGCTGTGACAAATTTCGTGCAAACCTAAACATATTAAGGGACTTTGGTACACCAATGACCATAAATCGGACGAAAATATATATGGGAGCTATATCAAAATCTGATTTCTACAAAATTTAACATACATCGTTCTAGACTCAATTCAGTACGCTATGCCAAATATCGTACAATTCGAAGGATATATAGGGACCTTGGTGCACTATTTACCTAGAATCGGTCGAAAATATATATGGGAGCTATATCTCAATCTGAACCGATTTTTACCAATAGGGTTCGTTCTTCGGCCAAATAAATGAGCTGTGATAAATTTCATCCAATTCGAATCAAAAATGCGACCTGTACTTTGTTTACAATTTAACATGGAAAAACGGATGGATGGACGGACAGGCATAAATCGACTCAGTATGTGATTCTATGCATATTCTCAAAAGGGACCATGTGTCTATCTCGTTTCTTTTTGCCTGTTATAAACATAAGTACAAAGACATAATACCCTGTACCACACTGTGGTACATAAAAATCCACGCCTGTGAATCTTAACACCACTCTTAATGACCATAAGATGTTATTGAAAAAACAAATGAAAAAGCGTAAAGTTGGGCCGGGCCGAACTTTGGATACCCTCCACCATAGTTATACTGACAGATACATGCAATGAAAATATAGGGAACATACCAAAAAGTGGGCACATACCGATAATACCGATTTATGTAAACCATTATGTACATTAAATACAAACTTCGGCAATTTTTAATGGGGATTTTTCCTAAAATCTGTATGATCCAAAAAGTGGACTGATATTGATAACGCATTGTAGAGTATGAAATCCTCAAACTACTGTAATTTAGATTACAAAGTTATATGAGGCTATGCCTAAAGAGGGACCAATATTGATTACATAGTGTAGGAAATAGTGAATATTTGGGGATATCATCATATGAGGGCTATGCCTAATTAATGACCGGTATATGCCAATTTTGAACCAAATATTTTAATTGTTTATCTCAATTCTTTCCTTCAGGAGGTATCACGATATTGAGGATATGCCTAAATGTCTGCCGATATATTTCATTATCATCATGTTTGAGTTTTTTTATCACAATATCTATAGAAGGCGGAATGCTTACAACAGATGGCTAAATAGTCTTTGTAGGGTAAAAATTGACTATTCCCCGTAACGACTAACCAACCGCAACACACGGAACAAATCAGTAAACTATTTTAATATAAAAAGGGGGGTTATATGGGGACTACCCCTAAAAAGCGGTGAATATTAATAATTTTTGGTGGGGAGATTTGTTACCATATACGACTACAAATTACCAAATTTCAGCGAATTTGGTTGAAAAACGCGCTCAAGAACCTCAAAATATCGAAAATTGGGGGTACCCTTATATGGGGGATACTCGAAAAAATTGGCCTATATTTATAATTTTTTGTGAAGAGATTTGCTACCCAATAAGAACTCAAATTACTAAATTACAGTCAATTAGGTGAAAAAATCCGGTCAAAACCCCCGAAAAACTGGAAACCAGAAAAAGTGGACCTATATTTATAATTTTTAGAGGGGAAATTTGGTACCCAATAAGAACCCCATGTACCAAATTTCAGCGAATTCGATTGAAAACCGCCCTCAAGATCTCTAAAATACCGAATATTGGGGGGTACTCTTATATGGGGGCTACCCGAAAAAATTGACCTATATTTATAATTTTTAGAACAAAGATTTGCTACCCAATAAGAACTCAAAGTACCGAATTTCAGCCAATTCGGTGAAAAAATACGGTCAGAACCCCCCAAAAACTGGATATGGGAAGGTACCCTTATATGGGGGCACCCGAAAAAGTGGACCTATATATAATTTTTAGTAGGGACATTTGGTACCCAATAAGAACCCAATGTACCAAATTTCAGCGAATTCGGTTGAAAAACTCGCTCAAGAACCTCAAAATACCGAAAATTAGGAGGTACCGTTATATGGGGGCTACCAGAAAAAGTGGAATTCGTGGCGAATTCGGTTGAAAAACACGCTTAAGAACTTCAAAATACCGAATAATGGGAGGTACCCTTATATGGGAGCTATGCCTAAACGTATACCGATATAGCCCATCATCGAACTTGACCTGCCTGCAGACAAAAGACGACTCTATGCAAAATTTTCGTTTAGACGCTAGAGTGATTACAACCGACAGACGGACATGCGTAGATCGTCATAGAATTTTACGCTGATCAAGAATATATATACTTTATAGGGTCGGAAATGATTATTTCGATGCGTTACAAACGGAAAAACAAAACTAATATACCCTCCATACTATGGTGGAGGGTATAAAAAATATATATTAAAAACCCAAACCCATGGACCTTAAGGATATTGAAAACATCTTCGTCAGGAAAACACATTTTAGGTATATCCTCAAAGGTAACAATGTCGTGTTTCCTTCTGCATCTTACATATAAATGCACATAGTTATAATAAACTACCCACAGCGTGAATTATAGGAAGCGAATTGTCATCAATTTGTTGACAAAGACCCAAACCATACGCAATAAATAATCGCCTCGCGAAGGAAACAACTATTATCACCTTCAATGGAACGGAAAGCAGTGTCATCTTTAAATAGAGCAGCAAATTCGAGTGATTAATCAAAGGTTGATGTTCCACCTTGGAATTCTCTCTCACTACACCCGACTGCAAAGAAGTTGAAGTCGTCGGAGAAGCTACTATCGGCTACCAAGAAGTTGATCCTGTCGCATGAAGCACATCCAGTTGTTTTCAAAGCTTCGTTAGGGTAATGGTAGGTTAATGCAAATACTACCAAGAGAGAGACGAGTGCCAACCCATATTCGAAACGTTTCTAGGATTTCGAAATTAAGAAAATCTTTAACATACGTCCATGAAGGTCCGAATATTCCAATCGAAATTATTGCAGTTTCTTATTCCGGAATCTTGGTAGGCAAACATCTTATTAACAGACAATTTTCTTTACAGGTCCATGGCTTGACATAACCATGTACCATTAGAGCTATAGCAGTGGAGTTTTAAAAAACATATTTTTGAAGAACTATCAAAGCTATATCCGAGTATTTTTAAAAGAATTTTTTTAATCAATATTTTTCAAGAATCATCTAAACTATAAGCATGGATTTTTTAAACACAAGAATCATCCAAACTAAAGACATAATTAGTCGCGAATTTCTTAAAGTATATTTTTTTGCAACCACCACTTCTATAAGCTTAAATTTTTTAAAGTATATTTTTTCAAGATCCACCTCTTCTTTTTTTAAAGAATATTTTGCAAGAACAATTTTCAAAAACCAATACTGCTATAAGCGTCGATTTTTTATAGAATATTTTTCAAGAACCAACATTTCTATAAGCGTGGATTTTTAAAGATTATTTTTCAAAAGCCATTTTACAGAAGCGTGGATTTTTTAAAATAAATTTCTAGAACCATCTCTTTTTTTAGCGCGATAGAATAATCGAAATATTTAGAAGCCAACCTCGTGGATATTTCATGTATATTGTCAATATTACTCCTTTGTATTGTTTGCATCTTATTTTATTTAAGAATTATATTGATTAACTTCGTTGTGTTCGTGTCGTACGTACTGCATGTCGTCTGGTAATGTTAATATTTTTTGTAATTCTCTTTGTTTGTAACTGCGGGGCAATTTTTTCTACATTTGTTCCCAAGCCAGAACAAAAGATCCATAAGTAATCAAGTTTTAAATTCTAAATGTTAAAGTTTGTTGGAGAATCAATAAACAAGAAACAATAATCCTGCACAACGAAGTGCCGGTTATTATTATTATGTTCATGTGTAGAGTTGTATGGACTACCAAATGCAGTTCTACCGAACAATGTTGTCTGTTTGTTTGTCTTTTTTTATTAGCTATTCATGTTGTGGGACTTTTTCTTATGTCGTGACTTGTAACGTCTTCGAAAAAATAGAAAATAAAACTCACACAGAATGTTTGCGTGCCAGCGGCTTAGTTGTTCTCGGTCGTTTAAAATATCCATTGTTTTTGTTGTTCATAGAAAAAAACAAAGACAAACATTGTTGGAAAATAAATAACTAAATGTTTGCTGCTTCATTTAACAAGCCAAGGTATTCGCCTAAATGACCTTTAACTAACCATAAATGGCTTTGGGGGTATTTACTTTGAAATTTAATATGAGGTTGTTTGTCGGTATGCACCAACCTAATATTAAATTCCATGATAGTAAACCTTTCTATGTCCTTCCATTTAATTATATTTATAGAATTATTGTTCCATATAACAATCCTTGGTTTGCCTTGGCTGGCATTTTGGGCCAGAAGTCAGAAATCTGAGATATAACATTCACGCCTATTGTTTGGCTGATTGTTGAAAAATATTCTTTAAACCAGTAAGGAAAGTAGTAAAGTCGGACTGGGACCCTTCACCACTTTGGGTATATTCTACATATGTAACCTAACAGACGACGCGTTTTTGTTATATATCTACATCTGAACCGATTTCAGGGAAACTTGCCAGAGACTAATTTATATTACATCAGTACGTTGTGTCAATCAGCCTAGCTATGGATCTTTTCACGAAGCTTAGCAACATCATTTTAGACTTAATTCAGTACCCTATACCTAAAGTCGTGCAAATCGAAATATATATTGGGACTTTGGTGCACCAATTACATAAAATCGGACGAAAATATATATGAGCCGATTTTCACGAAACTTAGCACACGTCATTCTAGCCTGATTTCAGTACACTATGACAAATTTCGTGCAAATCGAATGATTTTCAGAGACTTTGATGCACCAATTACTTAAAATCGGATGCAAATACATATGGGAGCTATATATAAATCTGAACCGATTTTGACGAAACTTTGCACACATCATTCTAGACTTAATTCGGTACGCTATGCCAAAATTCGTGCAAATTAAAAGATTTCCAGGGACTTTGGTGCACCAATTACCCAAAATCGGGCGAAACGATATATGTTAGCAAGATCTAAATCTGAACAGATTTTCATGAAACATAGGCACATCATTCTAGACGCAACTCAGTACACTATGCCAAATTTCGGGCAAATCGAAAGATATATAGGTACTTTGGTGCACCAATTACCTTAAATCAGATGAAAATATATATGGGAGCTATATCTAATTCTCAACAGATTGTCACTAAACTTTGCACACATCATTCTAGACATAATTCAGTACGCTGTGCCAAATTTCGTGCAAATCAAAAGATATATAGGGACTTTGGTACACAATTTACCTTAAATCGGACCAAGATATGTATGGGAGCTATATCTAAATCTGAACCGATTTTCACGAAACTTTGCACACATCATTCAAGACTTAATTTAGTACGCTTTGCCAAATTTCGTGCAAATCGAAAGATATGTAGGGACATTGGTGCACTATTTCCATTAAATCGGACGAAACTATATACGACAGCTATATATAAATCTGGACCGATTTTTCCCAATTTCAATAGGGTTTGTCCTTGGGCCAAATAAGTGGCCTATGCCAAATTTCATCTAATTCGGATCATAAATGCGACCTGTACTTTGTTTACAATTTAACATGGACAGACAGACGGACGAACGGACATGCATAAATCGACTTAAAAAGTGATTTTATGCATATTCTAAAAAGGAACCATGTGTCTATCTCGTTTCCTTTTACCTGTTACAAACATATGCACAAAGACATAATATCCTGTACCACAGTGTGGTGAGGGGTATAAAAAATCCACGCCTATAGTTTGGATGATTGTTGAAAAATATTCTTTAAAAAATCCAGGCCTATAGTTTGGATAATTGTTGAAAAAAATTAAAAAATCCAAACTGTTGAAAAATATTCTTTAAGAAATCCAAGACTATAAAAATCCGAATATCCGTCCGACCATTCCTTTAATGTATTCCTTTAATGCCTCTATCCCGACAAAATGTCATTGGATGAAACAATTTCATATACATTTAGATGTCCATAAATGTCAACTACAAACCCTTTTTCCCTACCCAAAAACAAACCCGAAACATGGAACAATGCAGCAATAAATCGAAAAAAAAGAATATAAAAATTAAAGAACAAAAACCTAGAATAATTCGACGTTGCAATCAGACTGGCAATCTTCTTTTGCATGTCGAGTCACTTTGACAATTATTTTTTTTATTTTAATTTCAATTTTGCCGCTGTTTAAGAACTTCTGTAGATAAGTGGATGCAAGGCCTCTTATGTTGGCTACCAACTCCAACTTGTGTCGTTTACCTTGCCGATTCTAAATAACAGCATCCGTGCTGAATTTTGTTCCCCTGTTTACATGATTTCATGTTCGTTGACAATTGAATTGACTTTAGATGTTTGTTTTCGATTTTTTCCTTCGTTCGTTCTCAAAGTCAGAATCAATGTGAGCACATAAATGCATAAATTGTCATGCCATAAAATATCAGAGTTCAATTGCAAATAAAAATAATAATACCTGGGATCAATTTATGTGGTTGTTCCGGTTCATGGAGTATCATTCTCCACCACTTCTTCTTCTTCGACGTTTTCTTCTTCTTCATCGACTGCATTGTAAATTCACGTTGTTGCTGTTGCAGTTGTTTGTTTGCAATTATCATTTGTTTAAATCAAATTAATTTTAATTTACAAGTAATAATTTAAAATAATCACATACAATAACAGCATCAGCAACGTTATTCACGACAAAGACAATTTTTACCGAAGACGAATTCAGAAAAAATAAATAGAAACAGAAACAGTACCTTCAACAGGTTAATTTATTTTTTGAGCGGCAATTATGATAAGATTCATTTTTGCACCAATCAATTGATTCCTGCAACACGTTGGTCTATACGTTACTAAAGTTAATTAACCTTTGCGGAATTTCATTGCAATCGGATCTTCTTGAATATTAATTGTTGTATTATTTCTTATTACTATTGAAAATTATGAAATTTTTGTGATAGGCACCGTGGGAAAATATTCGAATAATTTAATGTACGGTTATATAGGTCCTAAATAAATATTCTTTTAAAAATCCACGCCTATAACTCTGATAGGTCCTCATAAATATTCTTTTAAAAATCCACGCCTATAACTCTGATAGGTCCTCATAAATATTCTTTTAAAAATCCACGCCTATAACTCTGATAGGTCCTCATAAATATTCTTTTAAAAATCCACGCCTATAACTCTGATAGGTCCTCATAAATATTCTTTTAAAAATCCACGCCTATAACTCTGATAGGTCCTCATAAATATTCTTTTAAAAATCCACGCCTATAACTCTGATAGGTCCTCATAAATATTCTTTTAAAAATCCACGCCTATAACTCTGATAGGTCCTCATAAATATTCTTTTAAAAATCCACGCCTATAACTCTGATAGGTCCTCATAAATATTCTTTTAAAAATCCACGCCTATAACTCTGATAGGTCCTCATAAATATTCTTTTAAAAATCCACGCCTATAACTCTGATAGGTCCTCATAAATATTCTTTTAAAAATCCACGCCTATAACTCTGATAGGTCCTCATAAATATTCTTTTAAAAATCCACGCCTACAACTCTGATAGGTCCTCATAAATATTCTTTTAAAAATCCACGCCTACAACTCTGATAGGTCCTCATAAATATTCTTTTAAAATCAGCAGCAGCAACATCACAGTAATCATAACTATTTGCCAAACGATGAAGTGGAGAAGACATCGAAGAAAAAAATCAAAACGGAAGTGAGCAAGAAACCAATTGTGAGCTATTATACACCGACCACCACCAGTACGACAACGGAACGTTATGTCGGCAGTGATGATTCAAAGCGTAAGATTTTTGTTTTTATAATTGTTATACCCTTTCAGCACAATAGGGGGTATATATAAAATATAGCACATATAAATATTCGTCGAAGACCCTGTATCTTTTTCTACATCAGAAATCAATGCCGAATGTTGGATTATTAAGGTTTTATCTGTTTTTTCCAACCGAAGGGTGTGTAATTTAATAATATAGTGCGATAGTCCCAATATATTGGTACTGCCGTTTTTGTGACATTTTGAAGGCCTTACTGGCGTTTTCGCACCATGTATGAGGCAAATTTTTATTGTCGGTAAATAGCGTCCATATTCATGTTCCGTCCATATCATGTTCATGTTCAGGTATTTTGACGACTCTCGAAAATTTTTTCAATGAAACGGGTTTGAGTTTGGCGTTTCGACAACTTTGTGAGTAAAAAATTTGCCAGAAAATAAAATCAATGCAGGTCCGTTTCTAGACCGAATCGTGTCTAATCCCGCCCATTTTAGCCTTTTGATTATACCAGGAAGATTTTTGCAACCGAAATGACGATATTTTGGCATTCTAGGATTTAGGTTGGTAAAAATATCGTGGCATATAGGTCCAGGCTGACCCACATATAAGGTACTTAATTTGATGGCTCTAACCTAATTTTCCTGTGATATGACTATAAGTGGGCATTTGAGGATTGAAGAGGAATAAATACCTTATCACAAAAATGTTTACATATTTTGAAAAATTTCGACGCAGGAGTTTCTCAATCAAAATGGCTGTAATTTGATATTCCATGTTCTAGGTCGATATGGGACCAATTTTACAAAATGCCCTAAATAAAGATCCCAAATTATTTTATTAATAAGCACATATTTCGATATGAATTCTGTGAACTTGCTGGGTAAAAAAATCATTGCAGAAATGTTCGGTATAGGTCCAGGCTTTGCACCGTTCCATGTTAGGTATAGTGATGGGACGAGTCACACTTTTCGACTGAAGTGGTTATATTTTGACATTTCGGGATTAAGAAACGGTGGCTAAAAAACGTCTTCGAGTTTTGACATGATCCTGACAAATTTTAGGTATTTTGATAGCTCTAGGCCATATGTGAACATTCGGGATTTCAGAAGTTTAAAAGACCTCTTCATAGAAAATGTTGAATATGTGCCCATGTTTTGACATATGCCTCATATAAGCATTCCGTCATATTTTAGTCCTAGGCGCATGACGAAGTCGCTGAAAATTTATATTATAGGTCCATGTTTTGATATAGCCCCCATATAAAGATCTTTTTCCATTTGATGGAAAAATTTACATTGTCCCCACTTTAGGGTGCTGCCTCATTTTAGGTATTTTCATGGTTTACATGGGTGGAATTTAGCATTCTAGAGGGTAAAATACTTCTACGCAGAAATTTCACATTATAGGTCTATGTTTTGACATAGCTTCCATATAAAAACTCTGCACAATTTTAGGTAAGTTTTAAGACCTAGTCGAATAATTTGGTTTTAATCCCACATAAGGGTCCCGCCCCCAGTGTAGGTAATTTCACGGTCCTAGCTGCATTTTGGTGTCGAAGTAGTAAAATTCTTCGCATAAAATATTCATTATAGGTCTATGTTTTGACATACCCCCATAAAAAGGACTCGGTCCCATTTTAGGTATGTATCAGGTCCTAGGCGAATTTTTGAACATTGACATTTTTGTTTGACATTTAAGAGGATAAAATACTATTTTGTCCTCACATAAGGGTATTTTAGGTTTAAGCGAATTTATCGATCATAACTGTCTTTAATTTGGTATTTCGCTTTCTCAAATGATAACAATTATATTTTGAACCCACATCACCATTCTATTATAGATTTATTTTAGGACCTACAAATCCTATTTTGGTCCAATATTCCCTTCCTTTTTCCCCATCACATGAAATAATCGCCACATTAAGTTCGATGTTTTTCCATGTTTCATAACTATTTATTAAAAAAATACGTTTAATTTATTATTGTTGTTTCTTTCTCCAGAGGATTTAGATGATATCTTCAAGGGATCGCACAGTTCTCATTTCTTTTCCAATCGCAATGGAGGAAGAGAAGATGATTTTGTGGATCATCCGGTGCGTAATCAACAAAAACCCAATGACTTCAATGATTTCTCCAAGAAATCTGAGTCCAGCACCACCATTGGTGGTAAGTCACGTGTAACCCCAACCCGATCCAGGCGACCACCAACAACACCATCAACTACCACTTTGGCTAGTACCACCACAACTACAGCTGCACCTAAGACTACCAAGAAGGTAACACCCTATTATAATACTGATTTCTATGATTATTCGCAATATAAATCCACGACAACGGCCTCAACCACTTCGGCACCACCCAGTACTGTGGCGGCAACCACACCCAAATCAGCACCACACAATCCAGTAAATCGTTTCTCGTTTGGTTTTAACGATTATCAGACCCAATTGAATATTCAACCCACAACCTATAATCCAAATCGCTTGAAATCATCTACACCAAAATATAGCAGCGAATTGAATAGAGGAGATAAGACGGTGAATAATGAGGCCTTCAACAAGAAACTGCAGAAATTCGAACAAAGTCAACAAAAAGTGCCAGCCCAAAACAGCAGTTATGCCAACATAAATGAATTTAGTGAATTTGCCAAAATTAGACCACAGCCACCACAACCATTCCAACCTAAGGCCCCAGCGAAAACGTTTGAAGCGCCGAAAAGATCTGAAGTAGAACCGCAATTTTATCGATCACGGGGACAACCAAGACAACCGGAGCCATTTAAAACAGCACCCACCAGGGCTAGCCATAGCAGAGTAACAACAACGATTATACCGGAGAGTATTAAAGAGAAATCTCTAGCCAACCCAGAGAAGCCACGAGGTTTTGTCAGCCGTGGAAGTATTAATTACAAGGCCACAACACAAAGAAACAGTGAAACATATCCCACAGTTTCGGCTCAAAATTACAAGAAATTCTCCACATTGGTGCCAAAGGATAAATATGACCCCACCACATTTAAACCCACAACCTATAAGAAATCCTATGAAAATAACATCTATCAGTCACAACAAACCGTAAGACCACAAAATAAACAACCAAACAAAGCCGGCGGTACCACCACCAAGTCTCTACCATCCACAACCACAGCCTATACCACAGCAAATCCTTATTACAACATCGATGAAGATGATGGTCAATATCATCCTGAGTTGTACGAAATCGATTTCCCTCGCAATAAATTTAATTTGCAACGTTCCAGTAGTACAACAACAAGTTCTAGTAGTTCGACTACAACAACAACCACACCCAGACCCTACTATCAACAGCAGCAGCAACAAAAATCTTATCAAAATCCCGTTACCCATTTGAAGAGTCAACAACAAACAGCCTTCCAAAAGGAACAGTCGGCTCAGCGCAACGATTTCAGTGATGAAGATGAACTTTTCAATACCGCGCAATCATTGAATTTTGGGGCAGCCAGTATAAATAAATTGCGGGCCGATATTATCAAAGCTGAAAAGACATCACAGCAATATAATTCCCATTATAATCCCTTGAATTCGTTGACTAGTCCCAAAACCACGACCACTACAACAGCCGCAACACCAACCTCAAGTACCACAAACTATTTTACATATCCCGCATATTCGTCATCATCATCTACACAGCAAACAACACAAAAACCCACCACATATGCAGTTGCAAGCAGTAGCACCACAACTACATCCACCACAAGACGACCCACTACCACCACCACACCTTACACGACTACGACCACCACAACTCCATATCCTTTCAACATTACCAAAAGTGGTAAACATGCCGATAAAAAACCAAAAAAGAATGACAGCAAAAAGAAAACTTCGAAGAGGCCACCACATGCCGATGAGGATACCAGTTACGATTATGCCTATTACGATACGGATACTCTGAGTGAATCGCCACAAGAATATCCTGAATATGAAATACAGGAATTTACGAAGACACGAAAAAATTAATGTGAAAATAGTTAAACTTTGAAAACACACATACACAAAAATCATTTATACATCCACCTACACACAAATATGGTCACAAACATACAGACATTTTTTCACAAAAATATGCAGTTTTCTAAGGTAGCAACAAAAAAGTTTAAATATTTTACAGGACACTGGTCGAAATTAATTAATACAAATTTCCAATTGAAATATTTAAAATTTAAAGGATTCAAACTTAATTGAACACCTCTCCGAAGACCCTTCCAATTGATCGGAGTAAATTCTGTAAAAAATTAACCATGTCCGCCTCGCACTTTTTTGAAATCACGATAACGTTACAAAATTTTGCGCACACATTGCTACTACTCCTAGGTTCTATATTAGTCAACATTTGTTCCAATATAAAAATTAGGATTGATCATGTAACGGCACGTCCCTATTTTCAATATTTTCAATATTGACCTTTAGAGTTTAAAATTTGTCAAAATAAAGCAATTTCATTGGTAAAATTTAGACATTATTCCCAGAATAATTTTGCTCATAACATATATTCAACATTTGATTGACCAGTGTCTAAAATTAAATAAAATCATTTAGTAATTACTCCCCACAAAAATCGATTTTATTTGTATTCTACAATTGTTAAATTATAATTTTTTCGCAACATAGATCAAAATTAAACGTTAATAAATTTTGCCACTACTTCTTATATAGAAAACAATATTTAAATAACAGAATATAATAAAAGAAATCCATAAATAATTAACTTAAAAAAAACTAAAAATTGTGAAAATGTATTTCTAGTTATTTAAATTGAAACAAAAACATACAATAATGTTTTTTAGTCGTTAGACAATTATAATAACAATATTTCTTATAAACATATCTGCCACAAAATATACATATGTATATGAATACTTTTATATTTCACATTATCATTTTGTTCGTTTTCATTTACCTTTGTTTGTTTTGTACTTTATTCTATTTCATTTGAGCAACAACAACAACAAAAACATATATTTAAAAAATGTTCTTATATTTCTTTACTTTTTTCATTCATTTAACTTGTAAGATGATTTCTTGTATTGTAAATAATAAATAAGAAAAATAAATTTAATAAAAAAATAAAAACTAATCTGAATTTATTTTAATCGTTAAAATATAATTTGTTTAGGGCCTCTGGTGCAGCATTTTGATAAAATCTGAAAGTAATTCATACAGTTGCGAAAAATAAAATAGCACCACTATTACAAGCAATAATTGGAAAGGTGTTTAAAACTGTTTTTAAATTTGAAGAATTTCGGAATGTATATTTAAATCAATATAATCAATATATATTAAATCAATATAAATAAAAAATATATATAAAAACGTAAATGTCCAGTTAAAAATATGAAAACGATATGAGATCAATTGTTTTTCACCACTATGGGTATATTAATTTCAGTATATTAATATGAAATTGGATGTAATAAAATATGTGATATTTATATAAATGTGAATCTACATCGCTTTAGCGGAATTTTTGTCCAGGCCTCTTTGACAATATTCCAAAGCGTCTCTTTGCTTGTCGGTTTGGCAACTGCTACTCCCTCTTTTAAGTCAGTCCATAAATGTTCGATTGCGTTAAGTTCTGGCGACTGCGCTGGACACTACATAACGTGTACATTATTGTCCTGAAACCATTTCTATGGCACTTCGTAGTCTCATTACGGAAACATTATTTTTCCAATATATTAACATAAACATGTTGATCCATTACAGTTTTAATATTATGTATAACCCCATAATACGAAAGGCATGCCCATATTATTACACTTGAGCCGCCATGTTTAATCGTTTTGATCGTATATTTTGGATCATATTATGCATTCAGTGGTCGTCTGACAAATTGCTCGAGAACCTTTTCCCCCATACAGCACTATCTTACTCGCGTCTGTCCATAAAATGTTCCTCCATTTTTCCAATGGCCAATTTGAGTATTCTTTGGCAAAATCAATACGCTTAGGAACGTGCTTAGCACTTAAAAGTGGAACTTTCATGGGGCTGCAGGCTAATAAACTATTTATTGAAAGGTAATGACGAACTGTTTGCACTGTTACAAGTACATTTAACTCCTTTTTCAGCTCCGTAGCTAACTTGAAAGGTTCTTTCTTGGCTTGACGGACTAAACGCTTGGTCAGCAAATTTGAATCTTTTTCGAGGGCGTGTTTCTGGTTTTTCTTTAAATGCTATGGCATTTCTTATCAATTTATTACGATTTGCCTTCTGATATAAATTTGCGAATCATTTCTCGTTTTTCAGTACTACAATGTTTTTCACGACCCATTTTTTTAAACGATGTGTCTTTTACTATAATTTGCTTGCATAAACTGATTAACACAATTCAGAACTAGTAAGGAAAGTAGTAAAGTCGTACTGGACCGACCATACGTTACCCTTCACCACTTTGGGTATATTCCATATATTTATCCTAACAGACGTCGCCTTTTTGAAGCAACATTGACATGAAATTGAACGAACTCAAATATGTGATCTTTATCTATAAGTACACCGACTAACATCAATCCCAACACATGCCATTCTGCAACCTATTCTAAATTTTGTGAATAGATTTAAGGCAAACTTTACACACGTTATATGATATGCTTCACTGTTAAAAATGTTATATCAATCAGGCACCCATAAAGCTACATCTAAATCTGAACCGATTTTCACGAGACTTAGCACACATCATTAATTCAGTATGCTATGAAGAAGTTCGTGTAAATCGGAAGATATATTCAGTACACTATGTACAATTTCAAGCAAATGTAAAGATATATAGGACTTTGGAGCACCATTTACATAAAATCGGACGAAAATATATATGGAAGTTATGTCTATATCTGAGCCGATTTTTACTAAACATAGCACACATCATTCTGGGCCTAATGTAGTACTCTATGCCAAATTTCGTGCAAATCGAAAGATATATAGGTACTTTGGTGCACCATTTACATAAAATCGGACTAAACTATATATGGAAGCTATATCTTAAGCTGGACCGATTTTCTTCCTTGAGCCAAATAAGTGACTTATGCCAAATTTAATCCAAATCGGATCATAAATGCGACCTGTACTTTGTTTACCATCTACAGACGGACGGACATGCACAACTCAACTCAGAAAGTGATTCTATGCATATTCTCAAAAGGAACCCTGTGTCTATCACGTTTCCTTTTGCCTGTTACAAACATATGCACAAAGATATAATACCCTGTACCACAGTGTGGTGATCACCGAGTTGGGGTCACATGAAAGATAAGGTCAGTGACGATAAAATTTGCAAATATAGAATTTGAGTGGCTTTCGAGGACACAGGGGAACCACTTGGCGATTTAGTTATGCAAGATTTTATGAAATTGATATGGTTAGGTAAGCTTGCTAGTCTCTTTCATCTCTTTTCATCAATTGCTATACCAAAGTTTAAGTTTATATTTTTATTCGTTAACCCACAACCTGCTGTACCAAATTTTTGAACATAAAATGGCAAAAAAGAATGAATTTTACATTTGTTGACTTACATTTCATTGTGCGACTTATAGCCTAGACAGACGACAGCCTTAATTTGCATTAACAGCCTTAATTCAAATTAATTTGTACATTATCCTCATTTTTATGTGTTGTAAATGCACAAAATCAAACTGAATTTATACTGAATTAAGCAATTTCAATATGGCAATGCTGTAGAAAATAAATTGATTATTGTCAAATTTGTTTACGTTTATGAAAATAAAAATTCGAAATAAAGGCAAAATACAACATTCCCTCGAGTTGGGCGCTGTTTTATCATCATTATAGCTGTTATTCGTCCTGTCTGTCGTGTATCGTTTTCATAAAGATGTAATCCTAAAAAATATTGTAAAAATGTCAATATTTTCTTCCTACACACAGACAAACAATAGTTTTGAAACCCAAAAAAATAAATGGTTCATAAATGCAGAAACTCTCGTCTGACAGGGGTAATATTAATTCAAATTAAGAACAATTTAATGCAAATTAAGACTGTCGTCTGTCTTTGGTATTACAGAACATTTGCCTCTATCGACATCCCTATCTAAAGGTATTACCATGCATAGAACAATATTATCAAAACATAAAATTAAAGCATACTTCCAGGCGGAAAATAATAAGAAACATCAATGGCCTGATTCGCATGTTTTGGTAAGTCCGTATTTTATGCCTTTTAAACTACAATTTTTTAGAGCACGCAATATTTATGATAGAGGTTTGATTGTTTACAAATAAATTGTTTTCACTAGGGTGGTTGGGATATATTAGGTTGGTGGAAAAAGAAATCCATTATATGTATATGAACTGTAGGACTTTATTTAACATGCTTCGTAATGTCCGATTTGGACCAAATATGCACCGTTTTGTTATATGATTTGTTGCCATTTTAAATGGAACTTCATAACGCCTCTCTTATAGAAGCCCTGCTCTCTATTTGCAAAAAGACTGTAGTAGTCAATTTTCACAATCCTTCCTTCATACTAATTGTTATGAGTCAATCTAGAGATGTGTGTCTGGTCGCTCCAGAGGCCGCAATTATGGCCCAAATATCATAAATTTTTACATGGAGAGGGAGATCGGGCCAAAGAATAAGCATGCATGTTTGATAAAGATCGGTCAATATTAATCGTGTCAAATGGACCCTCCTTTTGTGTGAAAAATTTAATTTGTTGTGTATTTTCTAGTCGATCTATGGGCCACAATTGAAAGCCGAATATAAAAACACAACCCACGGTGAAAGGAATCTGGTCTGGTAATTAGAAGGGCTGTACTGAATATTAATAATACTTGTTGACATCCAGTTGGTCAAGAGGGTGCAAATATCGCGAAATATTGTCCAAGCTCAGAATAAAGAACAACAGAAAGATAGATTTTCGTGGAAGTTGTGTAGGGTATCATATAGTCGGCCCGTCCGACTATACTGCTCCGCTCACTGGTGTATCATTAAAGAAATTTTGCAATGCAAGAAAAATATGATAATAGCTTGGTACCAAGTCCGGACTGTATGGCGGATGCATTAAAACTTCCCAACCAAGCTCCGGAAGTTTCTGGCGAGTCACTGTAGATTTGTGTGGCCTAACGTTGTTCTGGTGGAACACGACACCTCCAATTCTGGCCGCTTCTGGTCAATTTCTATCTTCAAACGGTCCAGTTGTAGACAGTAGAGATAAGAATTTAGCGATTGGTCATATGGAGGCAACTCATAACAAATAATCCCCTTCCAGTCCCACCAAAAGAAGAGCAGATCATTCCTGGCCGTTTGTCCTCGATTGGCCACCGTTTGAGGTGCTTCACCGCTATTTGACCACTATCGTTTTCGCACAGGGTTATCGCATGTGATCCATTTCTCATCTCCAGTCACCATCCGTTTAAGAAATGGGTCTATCTCATTCCGTTTGGCCAAGGCTTCGCAGATGGAAATGTGATCCATCCTATTTTCTGTTAATTGGTGTGACACCGAAACATCGAGCTTCTTTTTTAATCTAGCTTTGTGCAAATGGTTTAAAACTGTTTTAATGTCGATTTTTAGCTCCTGGGCTCCTAACATGGCAGTCAACTTCGATCAATTCTCCGATTTTATCGACATTTTCATAATGGATTTCTTTTTCCCCAACCTACGTTATACTATATCCCCATATAACAACAGTACCCCAAAATATTCGAAATTTTATAGATTTCTGTCACTTTTTCAACTGAATTGGTTTGATACACAATGAAAACTCAAAATACCAAATATTTGAGTTTTCATTGTGTATGAAATCTTTCTGAATCTGAAAATGTTCAATATTTGTTCAATTTTTAGGATAGTCCCTCTATGGCAGTACGAGTACCTCCCCAATCTAGGTATTCTGGGGGCATGGGCAGGTGTTTTCAACAGAATAGGCTGTAGTTTTGTTGGATTATCAATATTCATCCACATTTTACAATAGTTTCGATATGAAAGAATCTTCGATATTTTGTAGATTTTGGGCACGCTTTTTAACCGAATTTACTGTAATTTGGTTTTTGGGTATTAATGTTTTTATAAACACTCATACAAATCCCACAAATCGTTTACAATATAACATCCTAGCCCAATGCTCCAACCTAAGTGTCTGGTAATTCGTATTCTTAAAGTAAATCCTCATGGTTGCAATTTACCATGGATTAGACCCCATACATATATATTCCGATCGATTTTGAATGTCCAACTGGAATGCCCAGTTCATCTCGGCCTACAAAACAAATACATTAATAAGTACTTAATATTTTTATTTATTTTTTAAATAATCTTATATTAAATTTAACTTAAAATTAAATATTAAAAATACATTTATTTGAAGCAAAAGCATTTCAGAGCATTTCATTTTTATTTCATCAGTCTCGAAACTTTTGTCTAACACAACGTGGCATCGGGAACATATAGAGCAGCATATTGAAAGCGGCCAAGCCAATTGCAAAAGCGCATGAGGCAACAACATCGATAGTTTCCTTAAAAAAATATAAGAATAAATGAATATTTTGTTAATATCCTTTGGATATATTTGGACTTACATCTGGATCAGCTAAACCCAAACGTTCGTGCAGGAAATCTGCTGGTTTTGGGCATATAACTGAAGCAGTCGGAGTGCAATTCATGTTTCGTGTTTGGAATGTAATGCTGTGCAGCAGAGAGGAGGCATAACGTGTATGGGTGCCCTTGGTGTTGTCCTGTAACCAAGGTTGCAAGCCTTTGAAGGAACTGAAAGGGATAAAAAACAAAGAAAATAATAATAAAACAAAAAAATCATATTTTTCCCTTTCAAACTTACCGCACAGTACCACTAGCCAAAGCAATGGAGATGACCAAAATATAGGTAACAGCAATGGCAGCATTGTATGGAACTTTAACAACCAACAAAAAGGAAATACTCAATTGTTCAGCCAATACAAAACTGGACCATAACGCCACCATCAGATAAGCAAATGTGGTACCATTGGGTAATTTGGAATCCAATAATAATCTAGGAAACAATCGTTTTATAAAAATATACCAGTAATGAAAATATATATTCCAACTTACGGATATAACACCAAACTTGCCATTACAGATGAAATCAATGAAAACGGTATCGATACCGAATTGTAGGCTATCAACAAAGTGGCTCCTGAATATAGGCCTTCGGGAGTGTCGTGAGAGAAACGTTTACGCCAAATGGGAACTATGGGAGGATAAATATGTAATATTCAATGTGCATGCAGTTTAATGTCATATATTAATACTTACATAGTGTTATTGTGCTCAAAATGCCACAACCATACGCCATTCCTAAGACATTCAAAATTAAACCATTTTTACTGAAGAAACCATGCGAATCATCCTGAAGAAAAAAATTTGAATAATATTAATTGATATGGTTAGGTAAGCTTGCTAGTCTCTTTCATCTCTTTTCATCAATTGCTATACCAAAGTTTATGTTTATATTTTTATTCGTTAACCCACAACCTGCTGTACCAAATTTTTGAACATAAAATGGCAAAAAAGAATGAATTTTACATTTGTTGACTTACATTTCATTGTGCGACTTATAGCCTAGACAGACGGCAGCCTTAATTTGCATTAACAGCCTTAATTCAAATTAATTTGTACATTATCCTCATTTTTATGTGTTGTAAATGCACAAAATCAAACTGAATTTATACTGAATTAAGCAATTTCAATATGGCAATGCTGTAGAAAATAAATTGATTATTGTCAAATTTGTTTACGTTTATGAAAATAAAAATTCGAAATAAAGGCAAAATACAACATTCCCTCGAGTTGGGCGCTGTTTTATCATCATTATAGCTGTTATTCGTCCTGTCTGTCGTGTATCGTTTTCATAAAGATGTAATCCTAAAAAATATTGTAAAAATTTCAATATTTTCTTCCTACACACAGACAAACAATAGTTTTGAAACCCAAAAAAATAAATGGTTCATAAATGCAGAAACTCTCGTCTGTCAGGGGTAATATTAATTCAAATTAAGAACTATTTAATGCAAATTAAGACTGTCGTCTGTCTTTGGTATTACAGAACATTTGCCTCTATCGACATCCCTATCTAAAGGTATTACCATGCATAGAACAATATTATCAAAACATACAATTAAAGCATACTTCCAGGCGGAAAATAATAAGAAACATCAATGGCCTGATTCGCATGTTTTGGTAAGTCCGTATTTTATGCTTTTTAAACTAAAATTTTTTAGAGCACGCAATATTTATGATAGAGGTTTGAGTGTTTGCAAATAAATTGTTTTCACTAGGGTGGTTGGGATATATTAGGTTGGTGGAAAAAGAAATCCATTATATGTATATGAACTGTAGGACTTTATTTAACATGCTTCTTAATGTCCGATTTGGACCAAATATGCACCGTTTTGTTATATGATTTGTTGCCATTTTAAATGGATCTTCATAACGCCACTCTTATAGAAGCCCTGCTCTCTATTTGCAAAAAGACTGTAGTAGTCAATTTTCACAATCCTTCCTTCATACTAATTGTTATGAGTCAATCTAGAGATGTGTGTCTGGTCGCTCCAGAGGCCGCAATTATGGCCCAAATATCATAAATTTTTACATGGAGAGGGGGATCGGGCCAAAGAATAAGCATGCATGTTTGATAAAGATCGGTCAATATTAATCGTGTCAAATGGACCCTCCTTTTGTGTGAAAAATTTAATTTGTTGTGTATTTTCTAGTCGATCTATGGGCCACAATTGAAAGCCGAATATAAAAACACAACCCACGGTGAAGGGAATCTGGTCTGGTAATTAGAAGGGCTGTACTGAATATTAATAATACTTGTTGACATCCAGTTGGTCAAGAGGGTGCAAATATCGCGAAATATTGTCCAAGCTCAGAATAAAGAACAACAGAAAGATATATTTTCGTGGAAGTTGTGTAGGGTATCATATAGTCGGCCCGTCCGACTATACTGCTCCGCTCACTGGTGTATCATTAAAGAAATTTTGCAATGCAAGAAAAATATGATAATAGCTTGGTACCAAGTCCGGACTGTATGGCGGATGCATTAAAACTTCCCAACCAAGCTCCGGAAGTTTCTGGCGAGTCACTGTAGATTTATGTGGCCTAACGTTGGTCTGGTGGAACACGACACCTCCAATTCTGGCCGCTTCTGGTCAATTTCTATCTTCAAACGGTCCAGTTGTAGACAGTAGAGATAAGAATTTAGCGATTGGTCATATGGAGGCAACTCATAACAAATAATCCCCTTCCAGTCCCACCAAAAGAAGAGCAGATCATTCCTGGCCGTTTGTCCTCGATTGGCCACCGTTTGAGGTGCTTCGCCGCTATTTGACCACTATCGTTTTCGCACAGGGTTATCGCATGTGATCCATTTCTCATCTCCAGTCACCATCCGTTTAAGAAATGGGTCTATCTCATTCCGTTTGGCCAAGGCTTCGCAGATGGAAATGTGATCCATCCTATTTTCTGTTAATTGGTGTGACACCGAAACATCGAGCTTCTTTTTGAATCGAGCTTTGTGCAAATGGTTTAAAACTGTTTTAATGTCGATTTTTAGCTCCTGGGCTCCTAACATGGCAGTCAACTTCGATCAATTCTCCGATTTTATCGACATTTTCATAATGGATTTCTTTTTCCCCAACCTACGTTATACTATATCCCCATATAACAACAGTACCCCAAAATATTCGAAATTTTATAGATTTCTGTCACTTTTTCAACTGAATTGGTTTGATACACAATGAAAACTCAAAATACCAAATATTTGAGTTTTCATTGTGTATGAAATCTTTCTGAATCTGAAAATGTTCAATATTTGTTCAATTTTTAGGATAGTCCCTCTATGGCAGTACGAGTACCTCCCCAATCTAGGTATTCTGGGGGCATGGGCAGGTGTTTTCAACAGAATAGGCTGTAGTTTTGTTGGATTATCAATATTCATCCACATTTTACAATAGTTTCGATATGAAAGAATCTTCGATATTTTGTAGATTTTGGGCACGCTTTTTAACCGAATTTACTGTAATTTGGTTTTTGGGTATTAATGTTTTTATAAACACTCATACAAATCCCACAAATCGTTTACAATATAACATCCTAGCCCAATGCTCCAACCTAAGTGTCTGGTAATTCGTATTCTTAAAGTAAATCCTCATGGTTGCAATTTACCATGGATTAGACCCCATACATATATATTCCGATCGATTTTGAATGTCCAACTGGAATGCCCAGTTCATCTCGGCCTACAAAACAAATACATTAATAAGTACTTAATATTTTTATTTATTTTTTAAATAATCTTATATTTAATTTAACTTAAAATTAAATATTAAAAATACATTTATTTGAAGCAAAAGCATTTCAGAGCATTTCATTTTTATTTCATCAGTCTCGAAACTTTTGTCTAACACAACGTGGCATCGGGAACATATAGAGCAGCATATTGAAAGCGGCCAAGCCAATTGCAAAAGCGCATGAGGCAACAACATCGATAGTTTCCTTAAAAAAAAATATAAGAATAAATGAATATTTTGTTAATATCCTTTGGATATATTTGGACTTACATCTGGATCAGCTAAACCCAAACGTTCGTGCAGGAAATCTGCTGGTTTTGGGCATATAACTGAAGCAGTCGGAGTGCAATTCATGTTTCGTGTTTGGAATGTAATGCTGTGCAGCAGAGAGGAGGCATAACGTGTATGGGTGCCCTTGGTGTTGTCCTGTAACCAAGGTTGCAAGCCTTTGAAGGAACTGAAAGGGATAAAAAACAAAAAAAAATAATAATAAAACAAAAAAATCATATTTTTCCTTTTCAAACTTACCGCACAGTACCACTAGCCAAAGCAATGGAGATGACCAAAATATAGGTAACAGCAATGGCAGCATTGTATGGAACTTTAACAACCAACAAAAATGAAATACTCAATTGTTCAGCCAATACGAAACTGGACCATAACGCCACCATCAGATAAGCAAATGTGGTACCATTGGGTAATTTGGAATCCAATAATAATCTAGGAAACAATAGTTTTATAAAATATACCAGTAATATAAATATATATTCCAACTTACGGATATAACACCAAACTTGCCATTACAGATGAAATCAATGAAAACGGTATCGATACTGAATTGTAGGCTATCAACAAAGTGGCTCCTGAATATAGGCCTTCTGGAGTGTCGTGGGAAAAACGTTTACGCCAAATGGGAACTATGGAAAGAGAAATATATAATAATCAATGTGCTTACGGTTTCATGCCATATATGAATACTTACATAGCGTTATTGTGCTTAAAATACCACAACCATACGCCATGCCTAGGACGTTCAAAATTAAACCATTTTTACTGAAAAAGCCATGCGAATCATCCTGAAGGAAACAAATTGCATATTGTTAATTGTGAATATATATTTAAGAATTCAATAAGAGCTGTTGTATAGGAAAATATGAGTTTTAGTTGTTGTTGGATGGATTTTTTTAATTTTTTGCTATATTGGATACCCTATACCACTTTGGGTATTAAATATATATTTTAACGTAAAATATACGAGATATAATCTGTTGTGGGTCGAGCACCGTGTGACACAAGTCTGACTACATCGGTAATTATGGTGATTTTTGACACGTTTTTCAAACCTTGGTATTTTGGATTCACTTCGACTATCAGAACCGCCTACGAAAATTATAAATATTAGCCTATGTTTCGGAGTATTATTTGTAATTTTAGGGTAGTGGTATGGTAATATCGACGCCTCCGAACCATAGTATGCTAAGTCTGAAAAGTGAGTTTTTCAGTAGAAGTTTTCAAAGTATTGAAGTTTCTTTAATCGTAAGTGCCATGCTAAGTACATTTTTGCTTATAACTTTGGTTTGGATTGGCCGATGATTACCAAAATTTCAGTGAATTTAAATTAAGGACCGTAGTATATAAAAACGTGAAGAACTTTAAAACATGCTAAGTCGACTTAGCATACTATGGTTCGGAGGCGTCGATATATCTTCCTACTAAAAATTTTTCTATATTTAGCTATACCCCAAATATCCTTTTTTTTATTTTTTTTTTTTGTTGGGAGCTTAAGCACGAGTTTCAACCAATTTGAGAGCAATCAAATACTTTGGATTCTCATTAAGTTGAAATGTTCCTACCAAAAATTATCAACATTGGCTCATGTTTCCGTGCAGCCCCCATATAATAAGGGATATCAAATCTTCCTAGCAAAATGAACAATGTCAATTAACGGTTTGTTATCGCTCCCATAGCACGGTACCTTTACATATTAGGTATTTGAAGACTTAAGCTGAATTTTCTCACCGGAATTGCTTCATCATTGAACAAAATTCATTGGATTTGGTTCTGAATTTTTCAACTGAAAGGGCTGTAATTGTGCATTCTGGATTTTTAGAGTGTGGTGAATATCTGTGCATAAATATTCAATGTAGGTAAATTTTTATACCATTCACCACACTTTGGTTCAGGGTATAATGTCTTTGTGCATATGTTTGTAACATGCAAAAGGAAACGAGAATAAGCATAGAATCACTTTTTGAGTCGATTTATGCATGTCCGTCCGTCTATCCGTCTGTTGATGTTAAATTGTAAACAAAGCACAGGTCGCATTTATGATCCGAATTGAATGAAATAGGAACATCTCATTTATTTGTCCCAAGGACGAACCCTATTGAAATAGAGAAAAAACGGTTCAGATTTTGTTGTAGCTCCCATACCAATTTTTGACCAATTTAATGTAAATAGTAAGCAAAGTCCCTACATATTTTCGATTTTCACGAAATTTGGCATGGTGTACTGAATTAAGTCTATAGTGATGTGTGCTAAGTTTCGTGAAAATCACTTCAGATTTAGATATAGTTCCTATATATTTTCGTCCGATTTATTGTAAATGGTACACCAATGTCCCTATATATCTTTCGATTTCCACGATTTTGGTATAGCGTACTAAATTAAGTCTAGAATGATGTATGCTAATCTTTGTGAAAATCAGTTCAAATTTAGATATAGCTCCCATATATATTTCCCTCCGATTTTATGTAAATTGAGCACTAAAGACCCAAAGTTTGTACGATTAACACATAATTTTGTACTATGTACTGAAGTTAAAATAATTTAATCTTTGGGAAGTATCGTTGAAATCGATTCAGATTTAGATATAGCTCCCATTTATATATTTTCGTCCGATGTTAGGTAAATGGTGCACCGAGTGGCACGAAATTTTGCACAACTTATCGAATTGAGAGAATGATGCAGACACAGCATTTATATATATTATATTATAACGGGTGTCTGACTGAGATTAAATTTTGAAGAGTGCAGCCTACCGAATAGCGTGTGTCAATTTGCTCTAATTTGGTTCCAGAAAGGCATATATATCACATATTCAAGTTCGTTCAACTCTTTCGAAAAGACGTAGTCTGTTAGGAGATATGTGTAGAATATACCCAAAGTGTTGTGGGTATCATATAGTCGGCCCAGTCCGATTCAGACAAAATTAGCACAGCGTACTAAATTCAGTGCAGTTTAACGTCTGTGAAGTTTTGTTGAAATCGGTCCAGATTTAGATATAATGATATAATGATGCACCAAGTGATGTTTTGTTGAAATCGGTTCAAGTTTATATATAGCTCTTATATATATATATATATATATATATGAGAGCTATATGGTATGTGTATGGTATTTTAATTGGTTCAAATATCTATGTAGATCACAATTTTTTTTTTTGCCCGATTCCATTTCAATGGTCTTCCATAGATGCTATGTCTTTCTATATACAGGATATTGGTTTGGTTATTGATTTATTGGTGTGATCTTTTCTTATTGGTATTGGTTTTTTACTAAAAAAAAGTTGTAATGAGTCTGCATTTTGTCATAGCCGAAATGTCCGGCCCCACTTTATGCATTTCGAAGGATGAAGCTCCATTTTTCCACTTATCTTGGAAAGTGAAAACCAAAATTGCTGAAAATTAGTCTACGATTTGACATATAAAGGTCCACTCTTTGTCGGTGTTTTGAAGGTTTTAGAAACATTTTCCAACCAACGGATTTGATTGGCATTTTGGTTTCTTGAAAGATGAAAAACATTTGCAGAAGATGTTCGATGAACCTTCATGTTTTGACATAGCCAAGTTCCTAGCCCAGTTTTTCATACGAAGTATCTGTAATTTATAGATGGAGAGTGTCTATGTGACGCAACGACCGATTTTGGAGCTCTGCATTGAGGGAGCATCCACCACGATTGAAGTCATTGAAGCAGTTTTTCACAGTGTTATGTACTCACAAACTCTTTGGAGTATGTCTTTTCTAATGTCATACCGGTGTAGGATATATTATAGTCGGCGCAGTCTGATTTAGACATTTTTTTTTAAATACTTACCCCAACATTAGTGTAGAACAGCCACATTAAACTCATCGCCAATGGGAGAATAAATAAACGTAAGAACAGCGTTTTCATGCCCGAAGTGCCGCAAGAGAATGTTGAGGCCAATAATTTCCTACAAACAATTTTCAATAATTTATATTAATAACAACTCCACACACAATAAGAAATTCCTCATACTTACAAATACAACATTACCCAGACCTTCAATTCGCCGGGTTTACCATAGGCCAATGGTACCTTACCACTGCCCATATTATTAACCGGACCATCTGATAACGGCGTTTCACGTGAAAATCTCTCAACCAAAGCTTCAATTTGTTGACTTGATTCAACAAAACGATCACGGCTACGACGATCAACAGTCGATAAGCATAGATAGTACATTAGAGGATTTTCCAATTGGGGACAAGGAAAACCAATGCCATGAAAATATTCTAGCATGGCACGAGTGCCACCAGAATATACAACACCACCTAGGCATAGGAATAAAGCACGATCTAAAAATGGAAAAACATCCGAACGGGGTTTTTCCAAAGACAGCAAAATGCCACAGCCCGTCTTCTTGGCCGTATTCGATAATATGGAAATGAGCAAATAGGCGCTTAGTGGATCTAATCCCTGTGTGGGCTCGTCCAAAAGTAGCATGACTGAAATGAACAAATAAAATGAAACAAATAATAATAAAAGCTTTAAGATACTCAACAAAAAAAAATCGTGATTCATTGCAGCTATATTTCGTATTCCGATATCACACCCACACCTCAAAAGTTTTGTTATTGCAATTTTTGTTCTAAAAACCTGAAATGTTAAAATAGTCTGCTTGAGGTTATTCAAACATGGACCTACATTAAAAATTGTACGCCTGGAAACCTTTCAAAGTATCTAAACTGTGGCGAGTTTGAATGAGCTATGTTAAAAAAGATTCCCTGAGAAATCGAAATATCATATTAGAGAAAATAGAATTGTAATTAAAATTGGGACGGGATGGGATATACCAATATGGACTCAATTAAGAACTATCTGTGAGGATTTTGTTTATCTTTTGTACCACATAGAAAAATACTGCTAAGGCCTACAAAGTGTCTTAAAAGCGGTCTTGGGCCATCAAAATATTTAATATCGATAAAGGGGGATATACCAAAATATGGACCCAATTAAATGGATGATTTTATATTTTGTGCCACTTCGTTAGAAAAACACGTATAAGGCCTTTAAAATGTATTTAAACGGGCGTGGGCCATCAACGCATTTAATATCGATTAGGGTGTTTTTTTTTTAATTCTCTGAGAAACTGTATTGCCAAATTTCAGATACTTCGATTGAAAAATACGGTTAGGGGACTCAAAATATCTAAAAGTTGGTAGGGATCTTAAAACAAATCTTTCGATTGGGACCCTAAAATGCGGGTTTTGTTTAAGCCGTAGTTTTTTATTTTATGAGAAACCGAAATGTCAAATATTAGATACTTCGATCGGTTTAGAGCCCATAAAGGCAGGGTTTGGACCTTTAAAATAATTAATATCAATTAGGACCCTTACGTTTATGCCAATACATAGACAACTGGAAGTTGTTCTCTCAGAAAACGTAGTGCCAAATTGCAGTTACTTCTGTTGAAGAATACGGCTAGGGTCTTTAAAATGTCATAAAGAGGGTGCTGGACCTTCAAAATGTATAATATCGATCTTAAAGGAGGCCTTGGATCTAGAAAATGTGACTATGGCCTCAAAATATCATTATGGAGGGCTTTGACTTTTAAAATATTTAATGTCGATTAGGACCCGACTTCAGCGTTATGTCCCAACATTGCCACAGGAGGATTATTTATATACTGAAACCCCCATGTTGCTTAGTGCAGAAAAATATCTTAAAAGCGGGCTGGGATTTTTAAAATATTTAATATCGATCAGCATCCATATTTGAGGTTTTGTCAAAACATGAAGGTTTCCTATTCTCTGAGAAATCGATATGCCACATTGCAGGTACTTCGGTTGAAAATGTCACTGCGGCCTCTAAAATGCCAAAAAGCAGAGGTGTCGGTGTCTGCGAATTACAGAAATGTGTGCAATGCCGAAAATGAGGCGAGACCCCTTTTTGGAGGCTATGTCAAAACGTTGACCTGAATATAAACGTTTCTTCGATGATGCCTTTAACCTCTGGGAACCCGAAATACCAAATTACGGCACATCAGCTGGAGAATACGATTAATTAAAATCGCAAGTCATGGTAGAAGAATAATAGAAATTACATAAAAAATTCGGTCATGACATAGAAAATATCGGGTCTATTACAGCTAACTAGGTTGAAAAAATGCGGCTATGACCTTCAACACATCTAAGATGTGGCGGATCCATTATATACGGAGCTATGTCAAAATTTTGAACTTTGAAATGAAGATTATACCAAAACATGTAGAATATTTTCTGTCAGGTGACCTTTTACACCCGGGAACTCGAAATGCATAAAATTCGATTTGACAACCAATGAGCAGAGCAGTATAGTCGGACTGGGGCGACCATATGATACCCTACACATCTACCACCGAACTATATTGTTCAGCAGATCTGTATTCCTAGTCTGGGTAATATATCGCGATATTTGCATCTTCTTAATCGATTAGAGGTCAACAGCTCCGATTGCTTACCCCGGCATAGTTTCCAAATTATTTTCCCAACTTTAGTTTGGCCAGAGAAATAGCTGAAGTGAACCAGAAATAATATGGGACAATTACACCCTATTTTAAAATAACCTCCTTAAAAAAACTATTTAACTATGCAAGAATTCTGAATTATAATCAATTCGTAAAACCCCTATATACTAAATTTTCAACCACCGATCATCCTTTATAATAAATTGATCGAAACCATCTTCATTAACATTTCCCTCACAATTCTGGCAAATTTTCAAGTCTTGTAAAATTCTACATTACTACACCATAACTTTCTCTTCGAAAATTTCTTCTAACCTCAAAAAGACAACAAACAAACAACAAAATTGGTATTTTCACTTACCCGGATCTCTAACCAATTGGACACCAATCGATAAACGTCTCGCCTCGCTCATATTTAAATATTCAACACGTTTATGAGCCACCTGAGATAATGCCAAATCGGCCAACACTTGTCGTACTTTTGAACTCTTCAAATAGCCAGAAAGCTGATAATAATGAAAACACAACAACAACAGCAACAATTAAACAAAAAAATACTAAGAAATTTACGCATTGACCAACTTACAATGGTGGGTGTGTAGTGGAGGGTTTGAGCAACAGTTAAACCTGGTATAAATGTACACGACTGTGTAACATAACCGCAACGTTGTTGAAATAATGCCTTGGTCAATGGTGAACCATTTAACAAAACTTGACCTCTCGTTGAACCCTCGGCGCGGCGTGCAATGACATCGAGCAGAGCACGTTTACCGCTGCCTGCAGAAAAATAACAAAAATGTCAAATTGGTAGAAGATAAGAATGAATAAATATGAAATGGCAACATAAAAGAAAAAAACAATTTACCTTTAGAACCCAAAATGGCCATAACTTCGCCACTGTGAACGGTTAAATTAACACCTTTTAAGACTAAGGCAGAACTGCCGGCTCCATTGAAGCAACCACCACCATCAACCTAAAATAACAGAAAAGGGAGAAACAATTAAACACAAAAGCCGTGGTAAAAATTATAAAACCAAAAAAATGCACTTGTGCAGTAATAATAAGAGAAAAAATATTAATAAACTGCATTAAAAACATGAATATTAAGTATTTCATGGAATCGCAAACAGAAGACTTAAGACACAAACCTTAAGTAGCACAAAAACTTTTAAGAAAAGGGGTTTTTTATTTGCATTCATGAAATTATTATTTAGTTTATTTTATTTTAATAAAAAAATTTAAAATTCCAAGTTCATCAAGTGCACAATAAGCACACGTGGTCTAAAAATTCACAGACTTAGTATAACTTATATGGATATTATGTGGGACATGAATTGTGGTCAAGATACCGTTGTGGAAAATATATGAATATCTCTAATTATGAATTCAGTGATACAGAATTCATAATTATTGCCAACTTTATTTTGTTTATTTAGAAAAAAACAAGTGAAAAGTGCCAGTGTACCGACGACAGATATAAACCCTCAGCCTATGACATGTGTTTTATACTCTTATCCTGATTTGTGTATACTATTTTGGTATGCCTAAACCTTTGGAAATATAACCGTCAATATTAATTAAATTTATATTTAATAGTTACATTTATTAGTTATTTATAATAATTGTTTGAAATATCCCCAACAATTCGGGATATTAAACGGACATGATCCAAACCGAGTCCCATTTTTATATATTTAATGTATATACACATTAGCCTGAAATCAGGCTGTCTAAAAACATAGCTCTAACATTTGATATCCAATGAGAACCCAAAATATCAAATTAGAGCCAATTCGTAACCAAATACATATCCCCTATGTCCTCAAAAAGGTATTTTGATAATAAAAAGACATAAACCTTGAACAGTGCGGTAATCTTTATATAGGGACTATACCTTACTGTGACTCATATAGACAATTTTCATGCAGTCTGAAAAGTAATAAACGAATTCTTGTATGCCACTGATTGTATGCCCCCTAACCAAGATGAGGTCAGAATAGCAATTAATCGACTGAAGAATAATAAAGCACGAGGTGCCGATGGATTACTAGCCGAACTATTGAAGGTCGGTGGTGATTAGTACAATTTGGATATACAGGACAACTTTAACTGGCATATTTTCAACATTTAAAATCGGAAATTAAATCACTAGGTCTGAGTAAAGCAAGACCATCTCTCGCCAGACCAAGCTCGCACTCTACCAGATGCTGATACTACCCGTGCTAATCTTTGTATCCGAAGCATGGGTATTTGCACAAGCAAATGAGGCAGCCTTTGGTGTGTTTGAGAGGAAAATTCTCCGATCTGCGTCGACGGGGAATATTATCGTCGAATGAACCAAGAGATGTATCATGTAACATCTATTTTGGAACATCGACATAGAAGGAGGGATCGATTCAGAGACTACGTTGGCTAGGCCATGTTGTGAGAATGGTTGAGGAGAAACCAGCTCAAAGGGCATATAAAAGCGAGCCAAGTGATGGTTCAGGCAGACGGGGAAGGCCACGAATGCGTTGGATAGATCAAGTAGAAGACAACATCTCCGAAATTGGTCTTTCAAATTGGATGAATGACCAACCAACTATAATTTTGGGATAGATCCCAAATAAATTCGATTTTTTTTAAGTCGAAAACATATTTGTCGAACATGTTTAATATATGAAGGTCCATACTTTGAAATAATTCCACCATTCTTTGTCATAGCGCCATATAAGGAACTCGAACAACTTGAATTCCCATCTTGAATTTTGAATTCCCATCTCAGTTTGGAGTATGTAAACAATTTGGTGCCGCATAATTTATTGGTTATACCCTCCACCATATTCTCTAAGTCAGCGCAACATTCTATATCGATATATCACGCTAACCTATAGACTATACTGAATTAGGTCTATAATGATGTGTGTTAAGTTTCCTGAAAATGTGGACACCATTTTCTTATACCCTTCACCACACTATATATCTTTGTGCATATGTTTGTAACAGGTAAAAATGGTGTACCAAAGTCCTTTTGAGAATATGCTATATATCTTTTTATGCATTTGCCCGAAATTTGACATAGCGAAATGGATTAGGTTTAGAATGATATGTGTTAAGTTTCCTGAAAATCGGTTCAGATTTAGATATAGCTCCTATATATATCTTCGTCCGATGTAAGGTAAATGGTGTACCAAAGTCCCTATATATCTTTCGATTTACACGAATTTTGACACAGCGCAACGAATAGGGTCTAGAATGATGTGTGTTAAGTTTCCTGAAAATCGGTTCAGATTTAGATATAGCCCCATATATATCTTCGTCCGGTTTAAGGTAAATGGTGTACCAAAGTCCATATATATCTTTTGATTTGCCCGAATGATGTGTGTTAAGTTTCCTGAAAATCGGTTCAGATTTAGTTATAGCTCCCATATATATTTTCGCCCGATTTATGTAAATGGTGTACCAAAGTCCTTATATATCTTTCGATTTGCACGAAATTTGGCATATCGTACTTAATTAAGTCTAGAGTAGTGCACGTTAAGTTTCGTGAAAATTTGTTTGGATTTACATATAGCTCCTATATAAATTTTCGTCCGATTTAATGTAAATGGTGTACCAAAGTCCCTATACATATTTCGATTTGCACAAAATTTGGCATAGTGTACTGAAATGAGTCTGGTGTGATGTGTGTAAAGTTTCCTGAAAATCGGTTCAGATTTATATATAACTCCTATATATTTTTTCTTCCGATTTTATGTAAATTGTGCACTAAAGGCCCAAAATTTATCCCATTGCCACACAATTTTGTACAAGAATCTGTAGTTAATATAAGTTAATCTATGTCATTCTTCTTGAAATCGGTTCAGATTTTGATATAGCTTCTACAAAGCTTCGTCCGATTTTACACAAAATTGACAGAAATTTTGCACAACGTACTAAAGTTTTGAAATGTGAAAAGTTTTGATATCGGTTCAGATTTGGATAAAGCTTCTATATCTGAAAAAATGAAAAATTTAGTATAGGTTGCAGAATTCGACGTCTTGTGGGCGTAACAATGGTAAAAAATAAAAACAAATTGTTTTCATAACATAGTAGTTTTGTTGGGTAAATATATTCCAGGGCGAACATTATATATATTTCTCTATAAAAATGTTATAGCATTATCTTTCAAAAAAACTCTAAACTGCGAATAAAAATAACTTGGCGGATAATGTAGACCAGTATGTGTGGGTAATGAGGATCAGAAAGTTAAACGTAGGTTGTGGATTGGTTGTGACAAATTTCAATTTATTGCACTCTTGGGTAACAATGAATGCAAAAATATGTGTGTTTATGTTTTGGAATAGCCCCCATTTAAGGATACCGCCCCATTTGCGGTATTTTGAAGGTCCTTGCATCATTATCCATCCGAAGCACCTGTAATTTCGCATATTGAGTTTTCAGATACCTCCTCGCATATTAAATGCGCCCATGTTTCGAACTCGTCCTCATGAAAAGGTCCCACTTTTTTATAGTGGTCCACATTACCCGACATTGAATATTTTTATTTTAAAATTATCAGAAATGAATAAAAATTAAAAATCACCGATTGTAATTACAGCTAAACGTATACACATAACTTCTTTATATTCGTGAAAAACAAAGTGTTCGACTATTTTGCCAAAACGTTTGACTATTGTGCTTAAAAAAATGCTACAATTTAAATAATGAATTAAATAATGAAAGCATTTTTAATTTGCTGAAAATATGGTTTATATTTAAATATAAAGACTTAAGACACAAACAGATATTAAAACCAGTGAGCGGAGCAGTATAGTCGGACGGGGCCGACCATACGATACCCTACACAAATACCACGGAACTCAAATTTTCTGCGGATATTTATTCCGAGTCTGGGCAATATTTCGTGATATTTGCATCCTCTTGCCCGATTAGAGGTAAACAGCACCTCTTCCTCACACTGACAAATTTTCCGAATATTACGAGTATTCAGTACAGCTATTGTACAGATTCCTTTCGCCGTGGGTTGTGTTATAATGTTCGGCTTTCATTTGTGGTCTATAGATCGACTCGAAAATAACACAAAAAATTAAGTTTTCGGTCCAATTCATCCCAAAATTATTATCTGATCATCACCGAAAATTATAGGCGTTGTCCTTGACCATAACTGGAACCTCATGGAACATTTCAAATCGATCAGCGCAATTGTTCCGCTCTCTAGAGTGATAATGGGTTACTAAATAATATACGAATACGGAGATTACTGTAAATATTTAGGTGTAACTTCAACTCCCGAGCACATACAACAATATAATTTGTATTAATTTAAAGATCCCCTTGGATATAATATCAACTTCTCGGGTCTATGTCCTTCAGGGGTAAAATATTAACCGATCATTCCCAAAAACAATAGGGGTCTTCATTGGCCACAACCCATCCTACATGCAAAATTTCGTGAAGATTGGTCCATAACTGTGGCCTGTATCGTGTTTACAAATTATAATGGACAGACGGACGGACGGACACACATGTCTAGATCGACTCAGCTAGTCGAGATATGACGATCGGTATACTTAAAGGTGGATCTAGGACCAATATTTCGCGGCGTTACAAACTCTTGGGGCTGCACAAAGCTATAATACCCTGACAACATAGTTGTGTAGGGTATAAAAACACAAAAGACTTAAGACACGAACATTCACATGATTTGTAAACATAATATGGATTATTTTAAAATAATTCAATTTCATATATTTTCTCTTAATAACTAATTATAAACTGACCTCGGTGGTGTGAAAAATATTATGAGCCTCCAAAACATAATCACTGCCAATCATTTTCATATCAAAATGTTCTGGGTTCACTGTCAATATAACGTGCCGCGACTGCCTGCTTCGGTTACGTTGAAAATGATGATGCGGTTGTTTTGTTTTTGTTCTTTATTTTTTTATTTATTATTATTTTCTTCTTCTTTCTCTTGGCGTTTTTGTTTTGACCGTTTCTTTGTTAAAATTTGCTTTTTTTCTCACAGACACCAATAAACAAATTGTTTGTTGGTTTGTTTTATTCTATTCCATTTCACACGGTATTCATACAGGTGTAACAAATACACATTAGTTGAGTTCCGCTCTACACTCTCTGTCACTCTTTCTCTCTTGGGTGTTTTAGTTTTCTATAAATATTCTCCACGCTCGATTTTTATTTTGAGTCTGTTGAGAGTTTAATTGTTAAACCACCACCACAGCCTAACTAGCGTGGAGTCCGTCTTTCACCAAAATCAAAATATCCAACACGTCCAAACACTATAAACGCTCAGCACAAACTGAATAGGAAACTCGGTTTCATGAATGATGTTGGCCAAAACTCGCTCTACTCAATGGAATGCGGTATTAGCCATGATGGTTTATTTCCAATTGGCAAGAGCGGGAAACGGTGAGAAAATGTAGGAGAGAGAGAGAGAAATAAAGACATTGCCATACTGGAATTTATTTTTGTTATAAAAAATGTAATTTAAATTATTAAAAATAAAAACAAAATATAAAAAAATAAACCAGTGAGCGGAGCAGTATAGTCGGACGGGGCCGACCATACGATACCCTACACAACTACTGCGGAACTCAAATTTTCTGCGGATGTTTATTCCGTCCAGATTCCCTTCACCGTGGGTTGTGTTGTGATGTTCGGGTTTCATTTGTGGTCTATATATCGACTCGAAAATAACATAAAAAATTAAGTTTTCGGTCCACATCATTCCAAAATTACTATCTGATCATCACCGTAAATTATAGGCGTTGTCCTTGACCATAATTGGAAGCTTATGGAACATTTCAAAGCGATCATCGCTATAGTTCTGCTCTCTAGAGTGATAATGGGTTACTAAATAATATACGAATACGGAGATACCTGTAAATATTTAGGTGTAACTCCCACATCCGAGCACATACAACAATATAATTGGTCTTAATTTAAAGGTCAACCACTCCTCTTGGATATAATATCAACTTCTCGGGTCTATGTCATTCAGGGGTAAATATATACACTATAGAATACAAATTTTGTCATTTTTCACACAAAAGTCAGGGTCCATTTGACCCGCTAAATATTGACCAATCTTTATCAAAACAGGCATGCTTATTCTTTGGCCCGATCCCCTTCTCCATGCAAAATTTCACGATGTTCGGGGCATTATTGCGGCCTCTGGAGCGACCAGGAAAACCGACAAAAATTTAGTATTTGGTCCATTTCATCCCCTAAATATTAACTGATCTTTTCCAAAAACAATAGGGGTCTTCATTGGCCAGAACCCATCCTATATGCAAAATTTCGTGAAGATTGGTCCATAACTGTAGCCTGTATCGTGTTTACAAATTATAATGGACAGACGGACGGACGGACGGACGGACGGACACACATGTCTAGAACGACTCAGCTAGTCGAGATATGACGATCGGTATACTTAAAGGTGGGTCTAGGACCAATATTTCGCGGCGTTACAAACATTTGGGGCTGCACAAAGCTATAATACCCTGACAACATAGTTGTGTAGGGTATAATAAAAAAATTTTAAAATAATATATATATAAGAAATATTTATTAATAATTTTTATTTATATTTATTTTATAAACTATTTTGGTATCTCCTTGGCGTTGATGATCATTCCAATATCTCGCTCTCCTCTCTGAGTCTACTCTCCAATTTGAATTGTTTATGTTAACTCATTTACTGGAATTTTTGTGTATTAACCAGTCTACCACCTTTGGCTAAGATGGCGTCAGAGGCCAAGTTCAGTATGCGGAGAGAGTTTAAACACGTTGGTCATTCGAAAAACTAAACTGCGCACGGCGCAGCCCGTTCTAATTCCATCTTGTAAAGCAAACACACAAAAAAATCACAAATCTCAACTGGAAATCTAAAAATATAACTCCAAAAATTGTTGTTCAGATATAAAAATAAAAAATTATATATTTTAAAAAAAGTTATAAAAATATTTAAAAAAGTGTAACTGATATTCTAACAGTGTCGTGTCTCTTGTTCCCCCCTCTATACTCAACTCAAAACAAAGTTCATTGCTTATTGGCTTTACGGTTTGCCCACAATAATCCCTCGGATACCCCCTTCCTCCTCTACAAAAACAACAAGTGCCTGAGGCAAAATCGGCTGAAAAAACGTATAGCAAAAAACGCGTATTTTTCTATTCTTGTTGTTTGTATCTACACCAGAGTTTTTGGCTTCCTTTTTATTGTATTTTTCTGTTCGCTGTGGTTATTCTATTTGTACATCATGTATTCTAGAAATTTGTGAAACCAGGAATGCATCGACGAATTTATGCAAATTTTAAAAAATAATAAAAATCAATAAAATATTTTTTTGAATTCCAAAATCATGTATGTGTTAGTGTTCTTCAAAAACCACATGCATTAAAAAAATACCCCACCACCATCATCATCATCAAGGAAATTGAATTTGAAACGAATTAATCATCCAGATTTTATTTGTTTGAATTGTTGGTGTCTGTCTGTATGCAAGCGAGTGTGTGCCTGTGCATATAAATGTGTTAAAGTGCGTGGTATTGATTGGTGTTAAATGCAACGGAGAGTATCTTGACTTGCTGACTGACTGGCTGGCAGTATAATATCTTTAGCTGCAAACTGACAAAAAGGAAATATCTTTTTTATGAGTTACCTTTGGTAAGTCCCAAAATGATACTTTATTTGTTTCTTTTCTTATGAAAAACCGCATTCATTGCCAGATATTATTATATTTCAAAACTCTTATTTTTTAATGGGTTTAATATTAATTAAAGTGATAAGGGATGGGTTAGTCATTGCTGGGAATTCTTTAAATGTTTTTTTTTTTGCCGAAATATAAAGATTAACAAAAAATTAATAGAAAAACTTAAAAGTTTGACTGGGCCGAAACTGGTCATTTGGTTGCCAAAATCAAAAAGGCCGACAATATTTTTACCCTTTGGTCCAAGAATTTTATATATATGAAAGTTATAATGAAATTTATATTCATTTCAATACACACACGAAAAAAGACATTCTAAACTTACATTGTAAGTCTATTCAAATTTTCAAGTTCGGTTGAAGTTATATTAGAGCTATATTCAAATCTGAACAGATTTAAATCTTCTGGAGTTTGGTGTTGCATTAACATACAATTGGATGAAAGTATATTTGAGAGCTATATTTAAATCTAAACCAATTTTTACAAAACTTAACACACATTATTATAGAATCAAACAAGACAAACCACAGGAGTTTGGTGTCCATTTATATAAAAGCGGACAAAAGTATATATGGGAGCTATATCCAAATCTGAACCGATTTCCAAAAAAATTAACACATTTTTTTAGACTTATATTCGAGCTATATCTAAATCTGGATTTTTAAGAAACTATTTACACATCACTTCAGACTCAATGCAGTACGGTATTTTAAATTTCGTCTGAATGGCAGTTTAGTGCACCATTTACAGAAAATAAGATGAAATTATATGTGGGAGCTATATCTAAACCTCATTTCAGACTCAATTCAATACCCTGTGCACAATTTTGTAAATCGAAAGAAATGCATGGACTTTGGTGCACAATTTATATAACATCGGACGGAAATATATATAGAAGCTATATCTAAATCTGAACCGACCCAAATCTGAACCGATCTAAACAAAACCTCGCATACATAAATCTGGAAAATTTTGTCTCAATCGGCCAAATTTTGGGAGTTTAGTGGTCCATGCACATAAAATTGGACCAATCTTTATATGGGAGCTATATCTAAATATGAACCGATTTAAACAACTTCGCATACATCAATCTTGACTCGATTCTTTGCTGTGCAAAATTTTGGCAGTTCGGTTCACCATTTACATAAAATCGGACGAAGCTATATATGGAAGCTATATCAAAATCTAAACCGATTTCAATAAAAATGTGCCAAATTTCACACAATCGGATAATAAATACGACCTGGACTCAGAAAGTGATTCTATGCATATTCTCAAAAGAAATCACGAGAAACCAGAATATATTGAAAATATTCTGTCAGGAAATATTTTCTGCTTTGAGATAAGAAATTCGTAGTTATTCGAATAATTTAAATGGATGTTTGATGCGATATTATAGTTACACATTATTCTTTTTACAGAAGTACGAATATCGGTTCATGTTTATAACTTTTATAGCAGTACCACCCGAATTTTATTATTTTGAAGATATTGAAGCATTTACTCCATAATTTTTAAATTTTGTTGTTTTACACAAAATTTTTTGGTACATTTGGCCCCATAAATATTGACCTTCAACATACCCATTCAAATCAGTTGTTCAGATCGCCTTCCCCATGGAAAATTTGTATTTCTTAAGGAATAATTTCGCGATATTTGCACTCTCTTCACCGATTAGAGGTCAACAGCTCTGAATCGTGTATTCCCGAACTGAAAATTTACTCCATATTTTTTAAATTTTGTTATTTTACAAAAAAAGTTTTGGTTCATTAGACCCCCTAAATATTGACCTTCAAGACAGCCATTCGAATTAGTTGTCAGATCGCCTGACTAGAAGACTAGAAAAAATAAAGTTTTTGGTCCATTTCATGCCCGAAATATCATCTTAACATCATCGAAAATTATAGGCCTCGACCTTAACCAGAACCTCGTGTACAATTTCCTACATTTCCGGTAATGGTAATATTAAACCATATCAGAATACGGCCCATGCTTGTTCCTTGGTCAGATCCCTTGCTCGGTCTAAAACTCCTTGATGTTCGGGTCAAAGTTATAGTCTCTAGAGCGACCAGAAAAACAGACAAAAATAAAGCTGTTGGTAAATTTCATTCCCTA